GAAGCACTGGGTGGAGTTGTGGGAGAAGTCTGCAGTGTAGATGGTGAAGAGGGACGGAGCCGGAACCATTCCCTGTGGGGCCCCCGTACTGCAGACGACCCTGTCCGACACGCAGCCCTGAGTTCTCACATACTGTGGTCGGTCGGTGAGGTAGTCCAAAGTCCATGTAGTGAGGTGATGGTCCACTCCTGAGCTCTCCAACGTGTCCTTCAGGACTGTGGGAAGAATACTGAACCCCCTGAGCCAGAGGGTGAACCAGACATGAGCTAGGAGGAATGTACAAACTCAGAAACACTGAGACGGTGTATAAAATGTAAATAAAAACAGAATGCAAATCTCATAAACCCATATTTTATTCACAATAGAACATAAAAAAAGCATCAAATGTAGTTTCAAGTAAAGATAAAAGGGCAATTTGAATATGAGGACAGCAACATGACTCAAAAAAGTTGGGTCAAGTTTAGCACTCAGTAGCATTCCCTTTTCTTTTAGGAATAGTCCTGCAAACGTCTTGAGAACTGAGGATGTCATTGCTGAACTTTTGTTAGAGGAAGGTTGTCCCATTTGTGCTCACCAGTCTCAGGACTTCTTTCTCATATTTTTTCATTTCATGACGCATGAAATGTTTTCAGTTGGTGAAAAGTCCGTACTGCACGCACGCTATTATAATAGACTCAGTGTACACAAATATGCAAGGCTTTGCCTGAAAAAAACATCTGGATGGGAGCATCTGTTGCTGTAAAACCTTGCAGCACCAATAGCGCCCTTCCAGATGTGTAAACTGACAATTCCACAAGCACTGGTTTCTTCTTTGGGTGATAGAGCTTTGACCTACACTTGTCAATGGCATTTTAAACGTTTCTGGAGCTGTTCCTCAGCCCATACAGTCATTTCCATAACAGTATCATATTGCCCCTGGCCCCGGGCACACACAGATTTTGCCAGATTCTCAGAATCTTTTGAAGACATTATGTACTGTAGATGATCAGATATTCAATTCTTCACAATTTTATATTGAGGAACATTATTCTAAACTCATCAAGAAAGAGTTTTCCATACAGGATCAGTTGGGGGTCCTTGTTAACAACAACAGCCTCCAGTGCTGCCTTGTAACGTCTGTAAAAAACAAAAGAAACAATCTCTTTCCCTTCTTGCTACTCTTCATGTTGCTAAAAGACAAACAGCAGCACCAGCTACTTTTCATCTGTTTCTTTATTCTCATTATTCATATTTTTACCCAGTGCTTGATTTATAAAACAGGAGGTCTTGGAACACAGACAGGGAGCCTTTCCAATGAGTCAAGGCAGAGAAAAAGTGACAGAACACATAAATAATCTGCACTGCCTGGAGAGTGTTAGAGCTGGCTGCCCTAACACTGCCTGCAATCATAATACTTTCCTACACTATTCCTAATTCATAATAAAAAGAACTCCTGCCAATGAAAAAGAAGCCTCAACTTTCTCATTGATTACAGAGTTAAAGAAAGTCTGAACATGAAAAAACACAAAAGACAAAGGCGTACTTGTTTAACATGCTGGAGGAGCGCACAAAGGTCGTTAGCTTAATGAGACTCAAGAGAATGTGTTCCAGATCCGAGTAAATACCAACAGGAGCTGAACTTGTTTGTTGCTTCAAGCTGTTTGTAGGAGTCTTTCCTCTGAGCTTATTTGATACCTGCAGCTTCACAAAACTACATACAGCAGCACCCATTTGTGAGTCCTCAGAGCCAGATAGTTGTGCTTGTTTATTTGTGTGGCACAGAGTGGAAACTTTATTAGTTATTTATGAGAATCTGACATGATCATTTCAAAAATAGAAAAGTAATTAAAAGAAGAGACTGTTAGCGAAACAGCAAAAACAGAAGCAAGTGACATGAGAAGGACGTAGGTTTAGTTAATTAGTATTTTAACTTCACTGCAACGACAGCAGATGTAAAATGAGACCATAAATCCTTTATCACAATATAAGTTATGTCCCTACAGATCTCTGTCGTGTATCCAAGGTCAGGGAAGAGGGACTATGACACAAAACTACAATGTGGATCTGGAAGGTGAGCCAGGAACTGGCAGCTGTAGGCTGTTGTTATTGTCAGATAATCCGCTTCTCTCTCAAGTGTTAAGTACTTGCATGATCAAATTTGTGCTGTATCTGAAAACGAGGTTAATGTGAGATATTTGGCCTTCATCCAACCTGTGTCCAAACTGCTGAGGATTTTCAACAGTTTTGCCAGTGACTCCATTTTGAGCACATTTTGCTACTTCTCCCACTTTGCACCAACTCTGCTGAATTAACAATTTCAAACTGAAGGACATTTGCTGGGCAGGGTTGCAGAGACTGAGTGACAAATGGGGCAAAGTAATGACGGAAGAGAGAAGACGAGTGAGAACAGAAAGTACGTTACCTGTGAGTCTTTGCTCTGGAGTGGTTTTCTGAGATGATGGGAGATGTGAAGAAGAAGTAACAGTACCACTGGCAAAAAGCCTGCATTATGGGTTATTTTCCCATTTTTGCCCCATCTGCTCACAGCTCCATCTGAACCCTGCTGAGTCAGCCTGACTATTAGAACAGCCCCATTAGATACACCCAACAAAAGAACGCGATTGTGCTCCCATGCCTGTGCTTATGCTGGTTCTGCTACTTGTCAACACTACAGTAGAAGGTGTAATGTCTCCTCAGATGATTGCATCAGGAGTCACCTTTTCAGATAATTAGTAACCACCATAAGACAGCAAAGAGAAAGGTTTCATTACCACTTCAAGATGATAAGACATTCTGTTTTCGCACTGAGAACAGACAACGGTAATTACAGACTCAGGAGATAAAATCCGTGTGAATGGAAAAGAAAAGTACCTTTTCTCCTTTTCATTCATCTTTTCTTGTGGTCATTGAAAGCTGTATTATGAGACGCAGCTAGGGAGGCTGCTGGATCATCTCCGACCTGCATCTTCATTGTTCAGACTGCGCTTTCACTGGCAATTTATTTTATGAAAATATCATTTCATAAAAATTACCTACTCTTATCTAATTTGATAAGAGTAGGTATGTTTCTTTTATTACTAATTGATTGTTCTGGCAAAATATATCATTATTATTCCTGAATGGTCTTTAGCACGTTTATTTATTTATTTTTTTGCTTAATGGTTTGGCTTATTTTATTCAAAGGATGGAAATCAATAGCAAAGAAAAAGAACTTGGGACTATTGTGCTCTTATTAATACTTCAAGCTACTGATACAAATCAATAAAGGCTTTGATCCAGGAGCTATAACTTCTGTGTGGCTGAGGTAACAGAGATTATCAGGTCACTTCTAAGAAAAAATACAACTTTACTGTTCCTAATATATAAAATTATGAGAAAAATCTTGTTTTTAAGTAAAAACACCATCATTGTAACGGTTTTATTGTTTTCAGTCATTTAACACCCAAACCTCTTTTTCATTTCCAAATAATCATATGATTCATAAGTAATCATAATCATGTAAGTATCAGCAGTATGTGTGCAACTAGTTTCTTCTTCTTCTACTATTCCCCTGCAATAAATATTTCCTCTTAGAAACCTTTGCTCCTTGTTGTGAGCAAGTAAGTGCGGAGCATGTGGAGTATGAACGCAATTTGTCCTCCCTCATCAGATAAATCACAAAGGATCAAAAAGATTGAACTTTGCTCCTGGAGCAGACAAAACTGCACTTCAACATATTCCATCTGCTTTGTAGGCAGTGCTAGAATCATGTGCAGCGTGTATAAACAGCACTCCTAACAGATTGTATGTATTTTGTCAGAAGCGAGAATCTCTAGAATCAGACTTAGTAGACAAAGGAAAACGTACAAATATGATAGAAGGACAGATGTGGATTGGGTAATGTGTGGAGTTGAACCACACTGAGTCAGGAGAAGAGTCAGTCTGTGAGAAAGACTGTGGGGAAGTGAGCTGTAGTTATGGAAGAGTATAAATTCTTAATTGCTGCTGACCTACCAGTCTCCAGATATGTCAGCTTTCAATAAGCCATAAAACAGCTGCAGTTTTAGCTTAAAGCATTATTTAAATGAGTAACTCTACAGATTTTACATATCAAAATAGGTTTAAGTTAGTTTTGCAAATGTAGTGGAAAAAATTATTTAAATTATTTTGTGACTTCAGGAGTACCTGAAAGAAATCTCATGCACTGGATCAAGTAATGCCTCGAACCTCTAAAACCCTTTTCTTATATCCGATTGAGGCTGATGGCTCAAAACTACACGTGGTGCTCGTCACCCAACACAAACAAATCTCCGGTCCAGCAGTCGCCAGTGGAATTATGATGAGCAGTAAGAAGAAAAATGAGGCCAGTGATGATAAGATGACATTTGCTTTTTTGGCTCTGAACACTGAATCGATGCCGATCAAACCCTTCATCGTCTCCACAGACTGCAGTGATGATTTGGTTTAGTACTTCTTTAAAATAATGTTAAGCACAGCATGTCCTTCACATGACTTTTAAAACTTCTGAGAAAAAAAACAACTAAAATGGGTTGTTTCTTCTGACAGAAATGCGCACTTAGAAGGTCGCTGGCCTTTCCTGATCTTTTTATGGGACTTTTGGTTTGCTCAGTTCACCAGCCTTTAGTTTGTTCGCATTTCTTAAGGTCATGGCTTCTTTCTTTAGCAGACCTCCGTGGAAAACGAGACGCCTGATGGCAGATGAACAAAAATGACTTAATGTCCGGCTGCACTTTACCATGTGGAGAAAAAAAGGCGGGGTTGACTAATAATCTGGAGTGCAACAAATAAAAGGACACTGCCCTGAAGAGCCAAACGCCTGGGCACGTCCACCAAAGAAGACTGATGTGGTCTTAGGGCGCTTGGGTTCAACTTTATGAAGACATTTGTTATCGAATATTCAATTCAGGAGACGCGACCGACACTGCTGATAACTGCGTAAATAGTGCGGGCGACTAAATACATAGAACAATACAGAAAAGAGAGGAAAACTTTTCGATATATTTGCTCACACTTGGAGACGCTTTTCGTTCCATGGATAATTACAATCATTAATAACAATAATTAAATCATGTTAGCTTGGCAGCATTTTATCAGTCGGTGCAATCCCCAACCAGAGTGTTAACGCACATACAAGAGGACGAAAGCAGATTCTTTCTTGGTGTGCAGCCTCTTGAGTTGCGTCTGAGCTCAGAGCTCGCCTATGCGCCCTCATCGAGACTTGGCACCTGCTGTACGCAGACGGAACAAGGACTGGAACAACATTAACTGCCGTCTCTTCTGTTTTTAAAGACAGAGAACGAGGGGGCTTTTAACTTATGGAGAGCTATCCCAGCGAAGCCCAAACCTGAGGTAAGGAATTATTTATTGAAATCAACCAAACCGAGGAATCTTCAATAGTCAGAAAAAGGTCATGAATTTGAGGAAAGAAGCGTTCACTGCACTCTGATGTGGTCTGATTGTTCCTATTGGAAAGAGAAATGGATGAGTGGGAATTACTACAAAAGCAATCGCAATAGGAGTTTAAAGTGTATATAAGCTTTATTCTTGAAAATATTAATAATGTTAAACTTGTGTCTTACTTGCTTCCAAGTCAATTTTATCAGTAGATTTCATCCAAACCATTGTTTTGGTCTAATTGAATCACACAGATATTTTCCATTTACCTTCTCTTTCAGACTTATTCCAGCCATGTCAGCTAATGGGAGTTCAGAGTCCAGCTGCAGGTCAGAGGTTAGACCCACCAATAACACCTGTTTCCAGAAGGAACTGTCTATCACTGCATCAGTAATCTCTATGACTGTTGGCATCTTCTCCAACAGCCTTGCTCTGTTCATTCTGCTGAAATCCTACAGCAGCATCCGCACCAAGTCCAGGGCATCCTTCCTGCTGTTTGCCAGCAGCCTGGTGATCACAGATCTGCTGGGTCACCTCATTAATGGATCCCTGGTGCTTTTTGTGTACAGTGCTGAAAAGAAATGGGAGAATTTTGATCCTTATCAAATCATATGCACCATCTTTGGGGCATGTATGGTGTTCTTTGGCTTGAGCCCCTTGTTCCTGGGAAGTGCTATGGCTGTGGAGCGCTGCATTGGAGTCACTAAGCCTATCTTCCACTCCACAGTGTTGGCCTCACACCACATGAAAAGGCTCCTTGGGGTCACCTGGCTGCTTGCTGCACTGGTGGCTGCGCTGCCTGTAATGCTGTCGAAGCCCTACAAGGTTCAAAGGTCCAGGAGCTGGTGCTTTTTCCTTATCGAGCAAACCAAAGACTGGCTGGATGTGCTCCTGCCGCTGCTATTTTCATTGCTGGGGCTGCTGGCACTGCTGATCTCCATTGCCTGCAACACGCTAACAGGCTGTGTTCTAATACAGGCCAAACTGCGCCACAAGCATCACTGCAGAAGCATGCCTTATCACATAGAGATGATCTGCCAGCTCCTGGCTATCATGCTGGTGTCCTGCATATGCTGGGGCCCATTACTGGTAAGACCTCCTCAGCACACCTTTAACAGACAGTTAAAAATTACAGGGAAAAACGAAAAATTACAGAGCGTAGAGTGACACTGAGGAAGCTAAGCTGGATTTGTTCCCTGCTACCTAAAGCCTTTCCATATATCTTTGTTAAAGCAGTGTTATGTTGCATTTCTGATCATTAAACTACTGCTGTTGGTCAGTGTGTCCATGATGCATTTTGAAGATGAGTAAGTACATCGACATCACAGCAATAATGGGAGTTTGTTTTTTTTAAATACTAGAATTGTTAGCAAACTTAACAGCTGCTTACTGGAGGTCAGAACAAGAAACCACATCACACTCCCACAACAATAGAAGCCTAACTGAGCATAGCTAAAATATTAATGACAGCAATACTAAATGAATGAGATTAAATTAAATTGAGATTAAATATTACCAGTCATCTGATTCTTTGCAGCATTAGTATTTATTTAATTAAAAATTCCCAAATAAAACAATAAATTAAATTACATTAAAGTCAATGTAACCAAGTAAGATTAAAAGGTTCATGTCAATTAGATTAAACACACAAATTTAAGTAATGTTTGCATTTTCACAGTAGTTTAATAACAGTGTTATCATAGTCAACTAAAACTAAATGCTAAAACCAAAACCAGGTGTGAGCAAACATTTTAGTGAGTTAAATTAAAAATAAAAACCAGATCGTTGAAACTCCCATAAACTGAAAAAAGAATACAAATATTTCAGCTTCCTTGATGAGACTTTGATAGATTTGTTTACTGACACTCTGCATGTCTGCAAGACTGTGAGTCAGCGGCATTCAAAAGGTGTTTTTATTTTAGCACCTACATTGATTTCCATAAATGTTGCTTCTGACATATGGCCTCCATACACTCATAACAATAAAAAAATAAAAGTAACACTGAAACAAATGAAAACTAAACTAAAACTGAACATTTAAACTGAAATTTAAATTAAAAAACACTGAATTAAAAACAAAAAGTCAAAAAAAAAAGTGCATTAAATGTGATAAGATGAAACCATTTGGAAGAAAATCGATTGCAGAAGCATGAGCATGAAGACAGAGAGAAGAGTCATCATAATGCAGACTCCCAGATAAAGGAGGTGGAGAGTAACATGACCCCTATAAGCGAGCGGTGATGGAGCCGAGTGTGATTGGTGACGGGGTTTTCCATCGAGAGGCCTTTAAAAATGACAATGATATGGAAATGAGAAGGAGGAAAATGAAACAGAGGTGATGAAAAAATAAGCAGAAATAATAACTGTTATCACCAAAAGGAACGGAGACAGAATGTGAGAAAACAGATCCTACTATACCCGAGCATGTCTGTGGTGCCCTAAGAAAGCTCTGTTTGTCTGTCTTTGCATTTTAAAGGGTTTGATACAAACAGGTTTTTCTCCACTTCCATCACTGTTCTTTTCTATCCTTGTCATCATCATGTAAAAGATGTCTGATGTTTAATTGTTGTACACTGGTGGAAATCAGCAAATGTATTAATTAAGGACTTGTGATGCCAAGCAATAGATGCCAGACAAGCTGAAAAATATGGCAGCTGCTTTGAAGACTCTTCCAAATAATCATGGTTTTGAATTATTATTCAAATTAAGCAATTCTAATATTTAAAAAAAAAAGAAAGTAAATGCTTTGAATTAGAGATCTCTTAATAACAACAAAGATGCAAAATTGCACACACTAATCTTACCTCGTTTTTCCTGTAACTTCCCCGCCAGTCTATCACAACCAGTCTAACACAACCAGTCTATCACAACCAGTCTAACACAACCAGTCTAAAATTGTTTTCTATTAAAGTATTTGATAAATATTTAGAATAACTGTTTTTCTACCACTCCAATAGATCCATGTCACCATTCTGAGTACCAGAGCCACGGATGAGTCTCCATCTTTTAGTCTGCTGACTATACGCATGGCTACGTGGAACCAGATCCTGGACCCGTGGGTCTACATCCTGCTGAGGAAGGCTGTTCTCAGGAAAATCTTCGTGTTGCTTCACGGCTGTTGTGGCTCGAAATTTTACACCCTCCATCGGTGGCAGCGCAGTATGCTCCACAGCTCAGCGGAGACCAGCAGCTCCAGTGGGTCATCTGATTGCCGCTGCCTCGGTAAAACACCTGTGCATGATGTAGTCATCAAATCCATCACCTGAACCCTGTCCTGAGTCTTTTATCTGAGAACGCCAAGGTGCTGAAAAACAAAAGGAAAGAAAATCATTTGGAATACTAGAAGGACATTTCTAAAGAACGCTTATCCTAAGGTCAATTTTAAAGTGACCCAGGTCCAAAACAAAATTCCTTTGATTCTTCCTTTGCATGCGCTCTTCCTCTTTGCAAAGTTTCATCCCATTTCAGCTCCTGCAGATGAATAAGACGCACTGAGACACTAGAAGACTATCAAAAATGCACTTACACAAACCACAAATGTTTTCTTGTAACATTTGCAAAATGATCACCATGAATTGTCACTATTACTGTATATTGTGGTATTGACTTTTTGTTCTAAACTTTTAGCCCCGCCTTCTGCATCAGGGGCACTAGACAAGTTCTATCAAAAACTGTCACAGTGTTAGAGACGAACTAACAGTCACTGTTAAGTCGTAGACATTGTTTTATTCATTCCTGGCTTTGTTCCACGTGCAGCTCCAGCCTGTGTCTTTGCACTACTATTTATTGATTGTGACTGAGTCTTCTTTGACCTTACATGTTAACTTTTTATTATAAGGATTCCAGTATAATGTGTTAATCATTTGGTTTGCACAGATGTGCAAGAGACAATAAGCGTGCAAAAAAACAAATGATCATCCTCCACCACCATGCTGACATCAGTATGATGTCTTTGTGCTAATATTGTGCTGTACTTAGTTTTCATCAAACATGGCTGTGCATTGATGCCAAACATCTCTACTTTGGTGCTGTCTGTCCAAAGCACATTATTCAAGAGGTCTTGTGGTTTGTTCAAATGCGACTTTGCAAACTTAAGCCATGTTGCTTTCATGCTTTTAAAGAGAAGAGGCAACCCTGGCATTTAGCAGGACCAGAAGCAGTAAGGGTATACCGGTACTTAGGACTGTTTTACCTGAAGCAAATATTTTGTGCTGAAAGTCTAGTTGATGTTTAAAACAAGCTTCTCCCAACAATTTCACCACAACAGTAAACTTTTGCTCATTGAGTGTTTTGAATGTCATCAAGTGTTTTCTTTTTTTATAGTGTGTGAGCTGTTAACGTGATGGTGTATACTGTACCAGCCTTTAAACAATTTAAGCCTGCATTATGTTATAACATGGACCAATTGAAAACATGATTTTTGCCTGTATCAGTACGTTTGATGTTTTAAATGGTTCGGGTGAGTGTTGTGCTTTTCTTTCAAAGTGTTGTAAAGAATGATCAGAGTAAGAAGTTTCTGATTGAAGTATGTAACGCTGCATTCAAGTGTGATCATGATCAGAACGAAAGCAGATGTTTTGAGAGGATCGTCTTTCAGCAGTAAGTAGTCTGCTGGTAGGTGCGTTATTACTTAGTAAATGTGATTTTTTCGCACCGGTGCTTCTGCATCATGACACTTTTTTTTTTACAAAACAACACAAAACTTTCCAATGTGTTTGTGCTGTACTGTGTAATAAAACGGAAAATGGAAAAACAAACCATAAACATTAAAGAGAAAATGGTGGAAATGTTTTTTTTAATGCGTTGTAGTCAAGATAATGTGAGTTCACAGCGAGGTTTTCTCCACCTAAAACATCTTTCGAGGACAGAGTGCGTCTTGTTTTAGCCCCAAGGAGTCTGAAATATGAGACTAGAATAGGCAAGAAATCGGTGATTTCTTATTATAAATTATTATGTATTTTGAAAAAGAATGGATTTTGCTGCTTTTGTGAGTGTCATTTTAAAACGACATGTTATTATTTAGTTAGTTATTACATCCCATCTGTTGACAAAACAGAAATATGAGATACAATCTTTACTTTGAGTGTCCTGAACTGTAGTCTTATAACATTGCTTTAAGCACTGTAGACGTCTACTTACATTCCACTCCAAGCTCCACTCTGTCACTTCATGCAGAACTTTATAAATGGGCACACATTGTTTGATTAACAATCGTTTTCAAAAGCAGAACTGGAAATGGACTAACATCACACATTCACACAGCGCTTATTCTCTACATTTGGGTTTGAATTAACATTAACATGCATGTTTGCATGTTTTAGGACAGTGGATGGAAGACGGGGTACTTGGAGGAAACCCATGAGTGAGAACATGAAAACTCCAGACAGAAAGGCCCTGGTTGGGGTTTAAACCAGGAACCACAACAGCACCCACCTCAACATGTTTAAGTCTCTCACTAAGCCTGTGGTTCAAGACGAGCTCAGTTAGTCAGAACAGCAGAACAGCAGATGAAAACAGGGGATACATGAATAAATAAGCCTGCTACAGAAGGCCATAAAAACAGACGTTTGCTTCCATCCATGCTTAACGTAGCACTGTTCACTGGGAAAAATGCATTTGCAATGACAAACCTGCAACTGTGCAGTTTGTGACTGAGTGAGTTTTTAAAAGTTAGATTTATCAGGCATCAGTGAAAAGTCCCACACACATACTAGCGGCCACACGTTGTTCCCACACTCGTCATGCAATTTTTGTTTGTTCTGTAATATTGACTATAAGGGGACATGTACACGGGTAATAACCAGAGTGGCTTCAGTTTCCCACACTGTGGTCCAGTCCGCTGACAGTGTCGCTTTACAGTTATTAGTGTAGTTTTAAACAGCATCCCATAGGTGGCAGCACGACACCAAATCCCTCCCGCTGGTCGGAGACGAAGAAGGGGTGGGACGGTGGGGGGGGAGATCAGCCATATGATGTGTGACGTCATCTCTTCCTCATCACCTCCATCTTTCGGTGCCGCATGCCTCTGTGCTTAATGGAGCAGGCTCGTTCCCGTAGATGCTGGCTTTTGTGAGAGGGGTGCGGTTTTTGCGGCCCGTGCGGTTGTTGGTTTGCGGACGGAGCGCAACTGCCGGCGCGAGCGGAGCAGCGATACGGTGTGTGTTCACTGTGGGCCGAGTGTTGTGTTTTCATCTCAGCAGCTGTCTGAGACGCGCGCGCGCACACACACACGCGCGTCTGCTGTCAAGTTAGTGTCAGCTCTGGAGCTACAGATACAGTTGTATCTGCTACATCTAGCTTTCCTGTCTCTTTAACATCTCTATTCTCTCGCCTTGTTTTTATGATAATGATAATAATAGTAATAATAATGATATTTTTCCGTATTTTTGTAACATTGCTCATATTGTTGCTCCAGCTAATTTTGCAGCAGCATTCAAATACTCCCGTTGTTTTAAAAATAAATGTATTTTGTCTTTATTTTTTTCCTCCTATAGTTGAGAACATGAATCAGGAAAAACTGGCAAAACTTCAAGCCCAGGTGCGGATAGGAGGAAAGGTAAGTTGCAAAAATGAAGGGATTTTGATTGCTGAGCTGGTACAGCATCACCTAGGACACATTAAGCAGGGTGGTTATTGTAGTTCTCCAGTTCGTGGTTATAATTACCAGTTACTGCTCTTTTTTAAAGTCTTTTTTAATTGTGTTGCCTGCAGAAAATAAGCACTGATTGGACAATCAAATTGGTTGATTAAAAACAAAAGAAAAAAAAGGAAAAAATGAATCAAGTATTCATTAAAGTGCCCATTAAGTGGTGTATTAAAGTTCTGATATACGATAATTTTAATAATTTATGTATTTTATTACAGTTTTTCCTAATTTTACACAATAAAATGCTTGATCATATCAACCCTTTTAAAAAAGTTGCCTCATTCTCCTCACATGCAAAGTTTTTAATAGTCTGGCCCGTCATCTTTTAAAGACGCAGGACTGCAGGCTTACTTGTGGTTCCTGGAGCTCCTGATAGTAGAATGGGAGGCAGATCTCCTTCCAGCTCCCAGTTTGGATTCATAGACAGACTCTCTCTGCCTTTAAGGTTAGACTCAAAACTTTCCTTTTTGATACAACTTAG